GTTGCAGTCTAAAGCCTATTTTAGAACCAGCCCATTCATATGAATTAAAAAAAAACTCATTCAGTGAATAAAAGTTGACAAGAAAATGTTTACAAATTAACCATATTTATATGGAGAGAGGTGATACCCAAAGAAGCGCTCGATAATCATATATTAGCAAGGTTTTTCTTTTTAACGTTTAAGCGATAAAGGGCTCATGTGCACAAATGAGATTTCTGTTCATATTCGTCCTTCAGATTATAGAGCCGCAATGATAAAGTTAACTTGAAAGGAAAAGGGCTTTTTTGAAGAAAGAAAAAAATGGCTTCAATTTAGCTGAGTCTATAAATATTGAGTTTAAGTGCAAAGGTTTGGATTAAAACGGTCATGAAATTTATTTTCTGAGGGAATTAACTTGCACAGATATTAGTTGGAATAGAAAATCAGGAGCCATAATAGGGAACACCTCCTTAGTAAATATAGTTAGTATCCTCTATTAGCACTAGCCTCTATAATAAATGGATCACAATCTTTGTCACCAGGTCTATATAATTGTGGTATAATTTGATATCAGTTTTGCTGTTTAAATTAGATGTGCCACACCTAGTTATTCTATGTTACTTATATATTAATTTAAATTCCCCCTTACCTGTTTAAGACATCTCTCGGAGAACAGAATCGAGGCTTTGCCTGACAAGATTTTCGAGGGCGTTAAGAACCTCAAGGGCCTGTGAGTACAGCTGATAACATACGAAACAATTTCTTAAATTTTTTTAAAAGATGCAAATGTACATAACAGAAAGATGTACAATATGGAATTCTTTTTTGAAAATGTTAACATGATCTCCAACAGGCGTGGTGTAAATTGTAATGCTCAACAGCGAAATTTTATTACTATCTACTTTCTTGACGAAAAAAAGGTGGCTTGCTATAAACATGGTTTTATTGAGCAAAGGTGGATATTATCAAAAAAGCAAACAAACATAGTGGAGAACTATGATAGTTCCGACGGCAACTTCAGGTGTAATTTTTAAGAATCAGACAATGCAAGACCCTGTTTATCATCTGCTAGTTAATAGTTATGTTATTAATTTTTGCAGAAATATCTTTGGCAATAAAATACAAAATGTCACCAGCACGACTTTCAGTCATGCCCGGGAACTGCGATTTTTGTAAGTTCACTGCAAATGGCAGTTCTTTATCACGGTACCTACAATAAAGCCGCATGTATTGCAATCGGATAAGATGCAGGTGTGAAGTTAATTTAGAGTATTATAGTTAATTGGGTATAATTTTTAATTTTGTTAAAGTCGAAGGAAAGGCTTGGGAAAATGAGATATACAATTTATTATAATCTAACTTAATTTTCACCTTCTATTTTAAACTTGCAGGTTCATGCACTACAACCTGATGGCTGAGCTCCCCATAGGCTTTTTTGGGCTTTTGCCGCACATTATCAGAGTGTAATACTCCATTATAATAATTTAACACGACGGCTTAATAGGAGATTTGGGGCGAATGTTGTCTGAATTACCTTTGAAATAGAAATTATTGTCAAATTGTAATGTGGGTGATGCAACCATTTTAATAATTTTGTTTCCTTCAGTCTGTTGTGGTTCATTTGATCAATAAATTTTCATTCACGTTAACATCTTCTATCAATTCCAATCCTGAAATGATATGAAGCCTTATTTAGATTTTAAATAACATTGCCTGAGGCATGCTTCGCGTGACTTTCTAATTGCTATTAATTTATGAAAAAATGCTTATCAATTATCTTTGCCTCAGCATAGATCACTATTTTCTTGCCGATCGTTTTGGATAATCATAATTTTGCTCTCATTGTTCTAACGATGAACCCTTTCTAATTTCCTCTTTTTTTCTAATTCCAGAACTCTGGACACCAACCTGATGTGCTGCCACCTTGATCTTTTCAGGCAGGATGCCGATTGCGAATTTGCCTTCAATGATAACTTCGCAAGCTGTCACTCCATGTTCCGCAACCTTGCTCCAAGGAGAAGTCTTTGGGTTGTCGGCCTTCTTTCGTTGTTTGGGTCTGTGTTTGTAGTTGGGTGGCAGTATTTCTTACCTGATAACAATATGGTCCAGTCTATTATGTTGGTAAATCTGGGTATTTCAGACGGCATCATGGGTATTTACCTCATCATTATAGGTATAAAAGACCTGCAATGGTCAGGGGAATACTACCTGCACGACTATGAGTGGCGCACCGGCTGGTTTTGCCATTTCAATGGCGCCATGTCTGTACTTTCAAGCGAGGTGTCTGTTATGATGATTTCTCTGATTGCATGGGACAGGCTCAAGAACATTGTGTTTCCTTACACGTTTGCAAAAATTACACCAAGGCAGACCCGTATTATGTGTGTAGTTATCTGGCTTGTGGGAGGCATCATGGCATTCCTTCCGTTGTCTGGAATGCGATATTTTGGTGACTGGTATTATGGCAAGAACGTGGTGTGCCTGCCCCTGCAACTTTCCCCGCAATTACAAGAAGGCTGGGAATTCTCCACTTCCATCTTCATCGTTTTAAATTTTTCTCTTTTCCTATTTATTACGGTTGCTTATGTTGCCATCTTGTTGAAATCATGGTCGTCAAGCAGACGGCTGGGTGCGCATGGAACTGTTCGTGAAATACGAGCAAGAGCACAAAGCGCACAGGCCAAAAGAGAAAGAGCACTTGCCAAAAGAGTCTTCTTCATTATTCTGACCGATTTCTTGTGTTGGATACCAATCATTGCTATCGGCATTAAGTCGCACGTCGAGAAAACGTTTGATCCACCTGGTGATCTGGCAGTGTGGATTGCAGTGTTCGCCTTGCCGATCAATTCAGCTATCAACCCACTGCTGTATACCCTTTCTACTCCACAGGTACCATTTTTCTCTTGCTTTTGAATGGAACATTCTTTCATTTGTTGTTTTAAGAGACATCTTTGCGAGATAGTTATCTGAATCAATCACCCGCGGTCCCAACGGTTTTTTTTTTATTAGAAATTTTCCTATTGTCAATCAAAGACGGTCTCTCTCATGTCCTTATGACAGAAAAAAAAATAACCCAAAAGGAGAAAAAATGGGCATGGAAAAAAATATGAATGATCGCATAGTTGTTTGTTTGTTTCTCTGCTGTTGGTTATAACCATGGAGACCAACTTGAATTTAAAAGCGGTTTGATCTATATTCCGACATACTTTATTAACTAAATTTCTACTCTATAGGTTCAAGCTGTTTTGAAAGCAAAATTGAGGAAGGTGTGGTCCAATGTTCGATCGATTTTCAGCAGTGGACAAAATCAAGAAGGCACGGTGCTATATTCCATTTATACATATCATAATCAGACCTTGAAAGGGGGTATAGGTGTGAGTAGAGATTAGAACAATGCACTTCAGAAATTTATTTGAATTATTATTGGAATTATCATTATTACTTCAAAAAATTATTAAGGGGCAACCACGCAATTAAAAAACAATAAATGGTTGAGCTTCGGTCTTCAATTTCAAGGGAAAGAAACAATCTGACTGGTAGAAGGATTTTTTAAAATCAATATGTGGACGAGATAGTTTGGTGTGTTATACTCCTCCACCGACGCAGCGCCACAGTTTCTTCATATTTGGATAGGCCTAACAGTAGTTTATTCTCCGTTTGGAGAGGACCAAAAAAGATATGTTACTGCTATTTTATTACTTAGAAGGAGTAAATAATCAGCAGGGACAGATCGGAAATGGACATGAACACGCTAACAACGAAGAGGGTAAATATAGTGATTCCCAATGTGTATATTCTCTTTGCCTCGTTATGGTTTTGTGTGTAATACCTTTCTTTCGTTTCTTCTCTTCCCTTCTTAATCCCATTTTTTGTTTGTTTTTGTGTCTGCATTATCTTCCCCATAGGAGAACAGATTGAAATGCAAGTAATAGAACACAACGAAGTCCCAGAAGTGGAAGCCCCTGAATTGCCTGCTCCGCAACCGGGTCAGTATTCCATATGTATGCTTATTTCTTTAAAACATCATTTCAAAACTAGCCAATTAGAAAACTAGGGAATCAAACGGTAAATCTTTGAGGTTAATAGGTCGACTCAGAACTCGCATTCATTACTTATGTGTATAAATGTATAATGTTTTGATGTTAATGTTAATGTGTGATTGACTTTCTGATTTCAACTGTAATCAAGTAATCCACTGAAGTGGGTGAGCTTTTTCAAATTGAAATACCTATGATGAAACATACTATTCTTTTCTATTTTGATACGTTCTACGTGTGAATTTTGGTTAGGGAAAGATTAAGGAAATGTTTCCTCATATGACATAAATGTGATTGGTTTTGTCACCTTTGGTTAATAATTGCAAAAAAAATCCTTTGGTTTTTCACAAGTTACATACAACAATTCTGACGACAGTTTTTCGACGACCCAGTTTCTGAACTTCCCCTTTGAGATCCCCATCCCTTTAAATTAGAAACCTGCACAGGTGTCATGTGCAACAAAGGTAATATCGTTATCAATATGGCACAGATCTAATAAATGAATGATACGTATTGAAATGATCATTCAATGTTTTACCTTTTTGCTTTTATTATAACGATTTGAACTATCAACAGCAATGGAACAAGCCTGTGGTGGGGATGAGACTCCATCTTCCTCAGGTATAATGTCTTCTAACTTGAATTAAAATTTCCCACCTATTATTGCCTATTATTATATTATTATTATTATTATTATCATTATTATTATTATTATTATTATTATTATTATTATCATTATTATTATTATTATTATTATCATTATTTCAGTTGATGTTGTTGTTCTTCCTCTTGAAACTTCATTCATGAAAAAATATGAAATTAAGTCGTAGACAGCCGCTTCATTCACAATATCAGTACTGAAGCTATGACTTCAACCGCTTTTTACAACTGTTCCTAAAAATCGCCAACTACTTTGCAAGAAATAAAGTAGTAGGAATGAATAAAAGAACTTGAAAGTATTCGATCAAATCAACTGTCTTTTGCAAAAGTATGACTTCAACAGACTATCTCATGCGCACAAACTCGCAGATGTAAAACAATGCGAGCTGTATGACAAGTTTAACCAAGTTTTAACTCAACTGAGTAATCTATCGTGCTAGAAGTTGTTAAGTTTATGCGCATTCAATGCGGAAACTAAACTGTACAGTAAACTTTATCGAAAGTATTTTATGTTTGTTTATTTGTTTTTTTTTTAAGATTTCGTATCTGAATTACGTCATACGAATATTATTTTCTGTAAAATTCATTTGAAGAATAAACGAACCACAAAAGTTATGACATGTTTCACTCTACTTGTTGTTTGAAACAGATTATGAGGATGATTTTGATATCAGACCAGCCACTAAAAAGACTGTGGAAGGTAAAGAACTTTTTGTAGGAAACTATATTATTAGTGCTGGCTGTTACCACCAGTTTATACAAAAAGACTCCAAGTTTCTCCTATGAAGGAATTTATAAGAGAAGCCTTCCCTACCTACTGAAAGTAACGAGTCATTGCAAATTCAAAAAAAAAAAAGATTTTTAACTTTGGATTGATAGTCTCGCGGACACTAGGTGTGAAAGGAAATTGTGCAAAATTAGAAGTATTTATGTCTTTAACGCACTCAACATGAGGCGTTGTATATTTTGGTGGGAAGACTCTTGCGTAATACCTGGTTAATAACATCAATAGATAATTATTAGCAGCAAGCTAACCTCTAAGAAAAAAAAATGAAATGGGACGGAGATTCGAACGCAAAAAGCGAATTTCTAATTTCCCACGCTAAAGTATAGTAGGTAGTTGTGTGAGTAAAAAAAAGTTGAGGTTCGCACATTTTGCTTGAAACTGTTTTAATCCTCTTTGGCGGAATAGAGGGAAGGGGGTAGTTCTATTCATGTTTGAATGTAGTTAGACTCAAATAAGATTTGTTATCAACGCTGGACCCTCTCCCAAACAATTTGCAACTTATTTAAAAGAAGGATATTCTTTATTGCAGTTGCTGTTCATCATGGTGAAAGCCAGCATCGACGAAAAAGTCAAAAAGAAGGTATATGTTGAACTCCTTTTGTAACTAGGATTGTCTACTCTTTGACGGAAGGCTCTAATGTTGATAAGTGTCTATTTTTATGAAACCATTATTTCACATTGAATTTATGAAAGATCCGACTACAGGAGAGACTAGAAGTGACTGAAGTTTAAGGTGCTTACAGGAACCTTTTTTATATGTGGAGGCTCGCCGTTGATGTAACTCGTGGCTCTTGATACAAGCATTGAAATATATATGGCAATTGTCGTACACATTGGTTTCGGTGGACACATAACCTTACTTTGGTTAATGTCAAGATATTTTCAATTTTAAGTTGTTGAAAAAACGTTTGACTGAAATAGAGTACCAGCTTAGTCTCAACATTTTTTTCGCTTTCTGAGTCGAAATTCGAAATATTTTAAAGTTGAGGGGCATCTGCATTGAGGTCCTTTTTGCGCATTCTTTTAGTACCTGAAGCAACAGGGATAACAGTTATCTGGCAAATTGGTGGCAATTGAACAAAGGCTTTAAGAAGTGGCAAAATTTTACCGTCGACTATTTCAACGCTCCCGAATTTTCCGCTTATGTCCTCTCTCTGGTGATCCTCCCACAATTTCGATCACTTTCGATTCGTTATTTTCAATTATTCAAATGAATGTCATTCGTTGACTACAAATTTTTTGTACTAAGTACAAGTTTCTGCAGGCCAAGGAGGAGAGACAAAGCCTGAGACTAAAGAGCTAGCTGAGGAAGGTAAATAGAATGATTTTTTTCTTGAACTGTACATTGTGCAACATAAGTTTCCTTTATTTCCGCATATAGTGGAAGTCACCTTTTCTTGAACTTATCTGCCATCTGGGCCAATTTCCTGGCTTACTCACAAAGTGACAGTGAGGGGAAGTCTATTGCTTAATATACGTCAGTCTTAAGGTCCTTATACTTCATCTTAATTAATAACTTTGCTATCACACAGCTGACAAATCTGTGGAGCAGGTGGAGAGTGAAGAGATTCCAAGGGCAAGTGACAAAGGTAAAGGAGAGGGTAGCTTTAATTGGTCACTCAGGAGGTTAAGCAGGTTATTGAAACATATCTTTCACCTTAGTAGTCGCTGAAAAACAGAAACATAAAAAAAATATTTCATGAAATGCTTCAGTAAAAACAAGATTGAATGGCTGAGTACTAATGCACCTTTTATCAAACACATTGTCTTCTGGAGAAGACGGAAGAGGGCACCAGCTTTGCCTCGTTCATTTTCGGCTCTCTGCGTCCATCGAGTTAAATTTCAAGGGTATTTACGTGTAGGCGTTGTATACGCACTTATTCAGTATCTGAAGCAACAGAGACAAAAGTGATTGATGAATTGGTGGCAAACGTTGACCTTCGTCAATTGCAATACTTCAAATGAACATCATTTAATAGGTACAATATGTTCTAATTCAATTTCTTCAGAAGGAGAAAAAAAGCTTGACACAGAAGAGCTAACTAAGGAAGGTAAATACAACGATTCATATTTTTTAAGAACTATACATTATTTACCATAAATTTCACCTAGTTATTTTTGCATACTATGCAAGCTTTATAATTATTATCATAATTATTATCATTTATGTATTTTTTATAAATTAAAAGCTAACTGGGCCAATTTACTGATTATTGCCCTAAGCAATAGAAGGGCCATGGGTCGAGTTTACCATCTAGACAACTTTATATATTTATGTACTTTACCTCATTCGAATAAATAACTTTGTTATCACACAGCTGGCAAATCTGAGGAGAAAGTGGAGAGTGAAGAAATTCCAATACCTAGTGATGAAGGTAAAGGAGAGGGAGGGTTTTTTATTTCTCACTCAAGAGGTTAAGGCACCAGATTAGTTATTGAGGCACATCTTTCATCTTGGTAGCCAATGAAAAATGAATGATTCGTAAACATGCTGAAGTAAAGGAAAAAGAAATAAATTGAAAGACTGAGTTCTAATTTACTTTTTGGTCAATTAATCATCTTTTATAAAAGCTCAAAAGGCAGAAGAAGAAGAAGAAGAAGAAGAAGCGGCTTGAGCCTGACATGGAGGACACAGAGAAAGGTAGAATTCTTTATAAATCAGCCAACATAGACTCGAAGTGGTCATGAATTAACACATAATCTGTCCACGTTATTGTCTGAGGAAAGTTGAAACACGGCGGTCCACATCAGAAGTGATTGAATTAAGAGAAAAGAGGAATACTTGAGTACTATTGTACTTTGTCACAGTGAACGGCCAAGACCTGACTTGCAATACTGACACTAAATATGGCACCTTTGAATCTTCCAGAGCTCTCTCACTTTTTGTAACATTTCTCAGCTATAAAGATGTTTGCTTAGATGGAGGAAACATAGCTGCCACGTGGTAAAGCTAATTAATTAGAAGCGAGGCTTATGACGTCGTGAACCTCAACTTTTAAAACTCTTTAACACAGACAAGTTAGAATTGTGTTAGCAATAATAAATTCTGATTAAGTGGCTTAATATATACATTTTTCTCTTTTCGTATTCCAAGCAGGGGAAGAAGAGGTTTTTGATACCAGACTTTAGTTCTTGCTTTTCGAACCAAGGTAAATGTTTGTTGTGTCTTCTTCAATAGTGAGTACCACTGACTGAAGGGTGCGGAAAACCTTGTGCACTTTTTGATATCTTATCAAACTTATGAAACTAGTTTCAGACTTGAGATGAAGGGTGAAATTTTCGTACTTTTGCTCTGATGCATTTCCGTGTACATGCATGGGCTGTTGACTCCTGATTTCTTGAACCTTCAGTCTCTAGAACCTTTTCATAATCTGAATAATACTGTCTGGTCAACGGACCAACTGGTGAGCTGGCCACTACGCCGTCAGATTACATTAACTGATTAAGCTGACAGACAGATGGTATAACTATCTGCTTGACTTTCTGCCTGACTGTCTGCCTGACTGTTTCCCTTGCTGTGGGCATGGCAATAAACTGATTCATTTTCTAGCTGCGTGCTAAGTCAGAAGCCTGAACCAGTTGACCGACTGACGGTTGGTTGATCAAGCAAACAAATTATTAATACACACATTTTGCAATAAATAAATCAATGTGCTTTTACTCCTTCCATTACTAAAGAGACCGTAAGGACTGAAGAAGAAGAGAATTCAAGAATTCAAGAAGAAATGGAATTCTAGTAATCATTATGTAGTGTCTGTGGAAGTATCTTAGTCAAAACAATCCTTTTTGTTTATTTTCCCTTCGATAAAATAATAACATAAATTAGTTAGCTGAACTATGGATTGCATAACATGCTATTGAACATATTGGGCGCTATCTCTGAATGGGCGTGTGATGGCAGTTCTGTCTTCATTTCGGTTTGATCTTGTCTGTTTTCTTTTTAATGTTTATTTTTTGTTTGTTTATTTTATTTAATTTTTGTGTGTGTATGTGTGTTGACTTTGACAAGTTTAACTACCTGTTAGTGTTTTTCTTTTAGCATATTTCAAAATTGCATGTTTTAGCGATTAATAGCTCATTTCTAGGTTCTTTAATCTAAAAGAAACAAAGCATTTACTGTTTAACATCTCACATCGTTAATATTTAATAATATCCTGATGATCTAAATAGTTAATTTCATAAAACGTTTTTACTCGTTTACGAGAATTTTATTTAGTAAGAGTTACAGTAACGGTTATTTGGGGCTTCAGATTATATGAAAGAACTCAGAAAATTTTACGGCCTGGGCTTTAGTTCTGAGAGACTCTGCATGATCATAACAACTATATAAATACCCCAGTTCCACAGCTAAGTATCGATATCTTTTTTTTTGTTTTGTTTTTTTCTATTTCATCACTATCTCTTAAAGAAGAATAATTAAAAATGTAACAAAAGAATAGTTAACATTTTATTGGATGAGAAGTCATTAATCAGTTCTTAGGCAGTTTATTAAGTTACCCAAGTAGTAATCTAAATAGTTGATTTTTAGAATTTTTATAACTCCTTTTCGAGCATTACAATACAACCTAGATGTAAAGTGACGTTTTTTTTCGTGAATTTAGGACGTTTATCGCGAGTACAGATTTATCAAATAACTTATAAAAACGTTTAGGTATGCCAGGGAGTTTAGTGGTTCGATAAAAAATTATAATTGTTTATTTTCACAACTCGCTTGTGAGAATTTTGCACCCAGACTACGCTTCAAAAAACAAAAAAAAATACAAGACATTGTTTATTAGAGGTTTTGAAGTTTATCAATAAGCTAGGTAGCCCATTTAATAGAATTTTCATAACTCCTTTGCGAGCGTTATAATCATTAGGACTTAAAGTGATGTCCATATAGATCATGCTTACATTACTGATAATTCACTCAAAATAAAAAAAGTAATGAAAAGGTCTAAGAATATCACTAAATTAGATATTTGGTAGTGAGTTGAAGTCTAATTTGTAGTTAATTTCTAGATTGTTTAACTCATTTTGAGAATTCTAATTCATTGTAGAACGTGATATTCAAATAACTTCGTGATTTGGCTCAAACGTGCTCATCAAACATGGCTTTTACAGTAAGGATAATTTGAACACGAACGTGCCTTCTAGAGGAACATGGTACAAAGCAAAGAGAATTGTAACAAGTGGAAAAGTTGTCAATAAGCGCGTCATGTTTATTGTAAGTCAGAGCCTTCAATAAAACACCTTTTAGACCTTATGCTTGATTCTGATGTCTATAAACCCAAGAAAATTTGTAAAGTCTGGCTTGGGCTTCATCGGCAGCGTTGTTGATTAGTGACTGGTCATAATTGCCCTTTCTTCTCTCCAGAAACGAGGCATGAACTTATATCTTCAAATTGGCCAATGAGATACTGCAAATGCGACACAATGTCAGCGTCGAGGGGGGAGGGAGAGAGAGCACTAAGGAAATATTAAGGTGATTTAGGAAGAGGACGGTAACTTCAGTTAACAACGGCGCGCTTAGCAACAACAGCGGTAAGAAACTAGGTCGACAACTTCTCTCCGTTATGTTTTATAAATTAATTAGCAGTCGTTGCAAAGACACGTCAGCATTATGTTTGTTCTTGAAAATGGAAACTTGGGCTCTTTAAAGATCGCCATCACAAGGACGACAACATGATCTTCGTTAAGAGTTATGCAACAAGCAACAACAAATAAAACCAATAAAATTGGTTGTCATTTTCCTTGCACAGCGTGAGCATAACTTTCTTGTCTTAGTTTTCATCGGCACTGATCTAAAATTTAAGACATAAAAAGTACAAACCTGAGCTAATTCTGGAATTTTAGGCATCTGATTTCAATCCGCAGAACATTCATTCCTCACGGTGAAAACGATAATGACATCAAAAAACAAAGTAATAAAGTGGGTAAGCATCGTAATATATTTAACTTTGATTGATTGGCTTAACTTCAACATGCAGGAAGTTTAATTCACGATCAAATTCAACAGTATTCCACCCTTATAATTCTCATGTAAGGTTAGAGGAATGTATGAAAGAAAAGCCACCGCATTAAGTCCTAAATTTAAAGCGAACTGAAATCTTGGATCGCCTGCTAACCAACGTATTTCCTACAAAAATGTAGCGGTAAATTCTCACAAATACACCGAACAAAATAGGGAAGGGCCCTCATAATCCTGGAAATTAGTTTTGAAATCATTCCAAACAGTATTATCTCGTACACAAGAGCGCAATTTACATAATTCCTGGGCGTTTTGATCGCGACGGGAAAAGCAGCGAAATGACCCCCAGAACTTGTTGGGGAGAACGGCAACGCCAACAACGGAAGTCGAAATAGAGTTGTGTCCAGGCTATCTGCGCGCTCTCCCGTTCTGAAACGAAAACCCGTCCTCTTACTTAATCACACTATCGTATCGAACGTGGTCCTTATAGTGTCCTGTACTAAGTTTGACAAACTTCTCGTACAAATGAGATTCTTTTTATTTTCTTCCATCGTTCCAGTTGGGCTCGTTATGTCTCTAAGTAAGCTTTCCTCCTGGGGCCTTGCGCCAGGAGCAGTTGGTGGGTTTGGTGGTGGGGGAGGTGGATCAGAGGATAATGGTGCATCAGGCAGAGGTGATGGGTACTCTGGGAGATGTGGTGGTACCCATGCGAAACAAACCGGAGGTGGAGGAAGCTCGTACCGTAATGGCACAGATTTTTCTGGTTTGACCGGTGGGAACTCGAATGATTCCTTGTGTACCAACAAATAATTGTCTATGTTGTGATTGGAATATTTTTATCTATATCTTTATTTACCCTCTGATTTCAAATTTCGTTGATTTAAATCCTACTTCTACGGAAGAAAAATAAAATAGACGATCCCATTTCTCGATCGCCTTTAGGATTCTCGGAAAGAGATTACGAGAGTAATGAGAACTGTACTTTTTGAAATATTAACAGCACCATTATTTGGGTGAACAATACTGAGCTATAAATGTTATAATGAACGCCTTGAAATAGTCACTGATGTACTGCACGTTATAAGATATTCTGGAAATTTTCTCATAGTTTATTATCAACAGATCATGAGATCATATCGATCAAAGAAATCTAGCCGTCATCGATCTGTACAAGATCTGCTGATTAATCAATCACTCAGAAAATGTACTTATTTCTTGTTCTTAGTCATTATCTGATTATTGCAAACCTTGACACCGAAGAAATTTTAAGAAAGAACAGGATTATTCTAAAATGTAAAGCAGAAACCAATCAAACACTTGTTTACAAACACACGGAAAGTGAAACTAAACAATTAAAGTGCGCGATGTGTCTTCCTTTGTAATCTCTCTCAAGGTAAATGAAGAGGTAAAATGTAATGAAAAAAGTTACCTACCCGTTACTTGATCCCCAGAACAAAGTTTTAAACAGTTCCCACTGGTAAGGGCGCTATCACATGGCTTGGATAGAAAACAAGGTATGAACAAGATATGTACTTCTGCAAGTTGGTTATTTTGAAAGTTAATTTTGAAAACAATAAAGCTGTAGGCGCATTTTTCGCAGCACATTTGACTGGTGATACATGTTGTTACGCTGTTTAATCATGGAATAGTTCTTAATAATATTTCTATTTCAGAGGGCCTTTCGGGTTTTCCAAATTCATAGTGCTGACTTTAAGGACCATAAGGGAAATCAAGGTTTAAGCACTTTTTTTTCTCTTACGAAAAATGTAATGTACATTACTGATCTTACGTACCAGTCAGAGGAAGTAATGGCGACTTGTGTTATTAAAAATTAGCAATGTGCCTTACTTTCTCGATATGAACATTTTCTTTTCTTAACAAGAAACTCACCTAAATTTCAATAATGTTATATTTCGTATTTATTGTATCGGGCAAATATGTCTCGAATCTCTCTCGTTCAGAAGAAATTTAATGATTAGTGGGTTATGCACAACTTCTTTGAAAGAGATAAAAATGTATGATAAAGAGAGAAGCTGTAGCATCTGAACGCTAAGATGCTTGCAGAATGTACCTTATGTCAAAAATTCTCTAAAACAGAAACTAATCTGATTATACTTTGCTAAGTGAGGGATTCGCCGTCCAAGAGTATGCATATCTATTTTCAATGAAAGGAAAGCATCCTACCTCGACAATTATATGCAACACACACACGGGAATAAACTGAACGATAAACGAATAAGTCGTTAGTATACCTCAGCTGGCTCAACAACAAACAGAGCTGCATCTTAAGTATTAGTTTGCTTCTTTACTTTATTTGATTTTATTTTTTCTCCTTTTTATATATTAGTTCTCAGAGAACGATTCAGAGCATAACAAAAAAAATATATATCATTTCTTCGCTTGTGATTGGTTCAAAAAACTCCTATTTTCCACTAATTCGATTGCCAAGTTGTTATCAGAGTGTTTGTTATCTGACAAATTAATGAGCCGACCACATTCAAAGTTGTAATTTAAACCAATCAAGCAATCAAACTTTGGTTTCAATCACCATAATAACAGTGTACAGACTTTCTTCAAAATGGAGAATTTTTTCACATGAACAGTGGCAATAGTTTAGAGCACAGTAGTGAGGTTAGTATCAGTCTATTAAATGCTAATTTTCCCTTTCTTTCATAACTTGACTATACTTCTTTTCTCGGAAATTGTAAGTTTTTATGATAAATTGGTGATAAGACTTCATGTCGTCCAATGAGGTCTGTAATCATACTCGTGATAAACAACTCGGAATCCCGCTGCGCAGTCGCCAGATTTTGTCACTCGTATTATTACTGACCAAACTGGATTCCACTCAGTACTATTACCATTAAATACCGAAAAAACTTATCTTAATTCTTTATCACACCCAAAAAAATCTCAGGTTTTTGATTTTTAATTATTTCAAATTCTTCTCACAGAAAAATACGAGTTTGTGGTAATGATGATGAAATTCTGTATTGAAGTTGCCCTGTACTGCATTTATGAAGTTCTCACTCAACACCGGTAGGAGGATGGGCAAGCCATTTTTGGTATGATGCTTCGAAGAAACACCTTCAACTGGCATTTAGACTGCTGCTACAAATAAAGTGTCGTCTAAGTGATAAATTGCGACGGTTATTATGTTTACTACGTAAATGGCATGCCCCCATGTCACCTCCGACACTGCGACACAGACTAAATCATGCTGGTTGAAAAAATTATGAATTTTGTGTAATCGTATCATAATTGGTTACATTTATGTGTATTACGCTTTAGTACTCTTACAAGCAGTAAGCGCTCTGTGATTGGTCATGAATGCTCCCTTATTTAAAGATCAGAAAAAAAAAACAACAACGAAATAAAACAAAACAAAGAAGAAAAAGAAAGGAAAAGAAACAACTAGATTTTTGTCATTTATTTGAAAAGTTTTCTTGAAGATGGAAAAGTAAGTGATAAGGAGGTTTGCAATATCAAAATGTTCCCAAATCCATCTTTTTTTTCTGCTCTTTATTTCAGAATCTCAGTGGGACGTGATGTAGCATAAGTGTTGTCAATTTCAAAGGATCGAATTTAAATGGCAATAAAACGAATTTATCAGATCTATTGCCCGATCAAATGTATGGTTGGTATGGTGTGGTTCCATACATGTAGTTTACGGTTTGTCTAGTTGCATGCACCGTTAGTCGTTTACATAAACAATTATATTACTGGTGGCTAAATGAGCAGAGATGACCTACTTTTCACATTACTTTAACCTAATGAAAATGGTTAAAACTCACCTCCTTACTCTTGGTACAATATAAGTAATTCAAAAAGTCAAAATAACACTAATAGCAGAGCTCGCAGAGCGTAGCCCCATAACTATACGAAATAGTAGTAACCCATCAAGCGTACGACCGTACGACCGTACAAGGTGCTACTTTTAGCATGCGCGGCCAACTGTACCACGGGCACTATCTTAGCCATTACTTAATGGAAGGGCGAGGGAGAAGGTAATGCGCAGGCGCGATTGCGTGCGTAACTTGGATTCCCCATCAGTGTGCGCCAAGAGACACCGTCAGATGACGATAAAGTGCGCATACTCGAACGTCGAACTGCATTGTAGCGTACTGCGGGCACACGGTTAGGCATTGTACGAGGGCTTCACGTGAGCTAGTAGATGAAATTTGACACCCGCGTTTTGAGCGGGAAATTAAACTGGTCAGGATGTAGTTGAACAGTACTTCTCAGTATTTTGCAATTTCTAAACAACTCGTAAGACAACAATACCGGCAGAGTTTAAGCTTTGTCAACCGGAGGAAATTGTTATAATTCAAGTTCGTGGAGAGAGGGTTTTAATTGAAAATAGGCTGGATATAAAGAGACAGAGTGACCAAAGAAAGCAACAAGTAAACGGCGTAAAGCGAGTCCAGAAAATCGCGTAAGAAAGTTACAAAGGACGCCAAAATAGGCAGATTACGGCGAGAGGAACACGAAAGAAAACAATAAAGGGCATAAGTAAAAAGGCGAGTTTCTAGCGAAGAGCAACGCGAGAAGGAAATACAAACTTGCTTCTGAAAACAGACTGAAAAGAGGTCATTAACAAAGAGAAGCGAACTGCAAAGGATCCGCGAAAGAAGAGAAGGTAAGTCGTGTCCTATCTGGGTTTTCTCTTACGCTAAGACCCAGAAAAAATTCAAACTTTTTTTTTTCCAATCGTCGTTTGATACTAGCTTCAGTTTTGAATTCAACTGATAACGTTTCGGTTAAACATTGACTCTGGCATTCATCGCCTAAAAACTCTTACGCCGGTTCATCGCTCGAATAATATTGCATAGTGCTCGTATTCTTCAAGTTTTTTCTTGTCTTTTCGTTTCAAAGTTTAATACAGTCGTGGTGTTATGGGAAAAGAAGTTATCTTACGTATTTTGTTTTGCCTAGAAAGTTTTCAAATGATGTCGGACGGCGAGAGCTAGTTTCTACTTTTTTTTCTCTTCAGTTAATTATCGCAGGATTTACTATGTTCATTTGAAAAATTTGCGCTTTGCCGAAGATGTGTTGTTTTACCCTAAGAACGAAGTGATGGCCTTTCCCAAAATTAAAATAAAATGGGATTGAGTAAGCGATGTTCATGTTTATATTAAGTCTAACGCGGTAATTTGATTTTGACGATATTGTCATGTGAGAAACCGTCAAACATCTGAAAATCAAATTACAGACCGCCAATGTGTGGTGCAAACAAACTCACGGCCAAAACGGAGATGATTCTACAGCGGAATGAGTGAATTTAATTGTTTGGTTGTACTTTTCAGCGCTATGTTTTCATGCTTTCTACTCGATTCGTTCGAACTTCAGGAAATGGTTTGTGTCACAAAACATGGAGCCACTTTCTCTTCGCTCAACATCTCGAGGCGTTATGATGAACATGCTTGCGATACGATATTTTTCTCGTAATGCTGGAAACTGAAGAATTAATCTCTAAAATTGGTAGTCTTCACATTTTGCAAGAAGCGTCCGAGCTTTGATCGTACAATTAAACGGTGTTCTGGCAATTTGACCTCACAAGCGCGCTGGTAAGCACATGGTTCGCGTAAATAATTGTTGTTTACAGTAATCGAATTCAAGAGAAGCTTTTGAGAGTCTGTTTCTGTAACCTTCCTGGATATTTTCTGTTAAATTCATTGAGGTTTAGTCTCGGAATTTCATAAGCGATTATGAATGATAGATTCGTACCGGCACCACAATTTAGGGAAATTTTGTCAACATATTAACAGTTTA